GCACATACACGTCGTCGCATACATCCACAAGTACCGAGTCTAGTACGTTGGGTACATTTGTACACAAAATGGAAGGCAAAATTACGTCATTGAGAAAAATCCGAAAATGTATTTAGATATTCCAAGACATTCTATGTTTATAATAAATATGTTGTGTGAAAAATGCATTTCAACAAGACTTGATGTATATCTCTTATACACTTTCTATTTATACACTTAAAAATATAGATATATAATATAGGTAAAAGTATAGCAAATATCTACACATCTCTCCGACTGCTCGCGACTTGATCGCCGAGTGGCCGGTATCGTGACGTCATTACCTGTTCTCCCGCAGTGTTGACCTTTTTAAGGGTCTTACAAATTCAGAATTAAATATATCACTTATTATTAATCCTATTGACCTAATTTTTTAAAGATATATTTAGGTGGTTAAATACTATCAGAAAATGAAAGAAAAAGTTTAAAATTATATATCACTGAATGGGCCTATTGTTCTTGCAATCTATGCGGAGTGTCCACATTACTTTTTCATTCAGCATAAAGTGCCTAACTCTTTCAGTCTCCCAAGTGGGCCGAGGCCTAGTCATTATCATTGGTCAAAAAACAGGAAATGGATAAAGAATGATAATCAGTTACAAATACCATTATACAGAAATATTTGTTAGGTTAGGTTTAAATTTAAAAATGATTAAAAAAGGACAGGATTTTAACAGTTTTTGATTAGTAGTTATTTCACCATTTCATCACTTTTATATCGTTGATTCATTACACCAATTCTACTCATATTTTTTTAAGAAGAAATGATTATTATATACTGTACATTGGTAAAAACACAATTTTTAAGTAAAAAAGGTAAAAAACTAATCTTTCTAATGGTAAATTTTCTAGTGAATTAAAAAATAATAAGCATTTTACAGATGTATAAAGTACGAGTATTAAGGAACCATTCCAAAATAGTTCCACTTACCAAACTTCTGTTAATTTTTGGAGGTCCTTTAGAAGAGATTTAAGAGTATTGAAAATAAAAGTTTAATTTTCACCGGCATCAATTTTTGTACTAAATAATCCTAATTAACCTATTTTGATCCAGCTAAGCTGTCGCCAATGTATGACCCCATTCATTACTAAGCATCCTGTATAGCATTTTAGAGAAGACAAATCTAATTTAATCTATAGAACATTAATATTATTGGAAAATACTACAACGTATAACAGCAGCATTGAGACATACTTTCAGAATGATTTCATTCATCAAAACAAACAAAAAACAAGAGCAACAATTTTTTTCTAAAACGATTCTTAAGGAGAAGGTGAAGGTTTCAAAATTGATACAATGCAGTTCCATTACAGTCGTTACCTAATGGGGTGTTAAAAGAAAGTGTAAACTATTTAAAAAACAAATTCTACTCCAAAAAAATTCATACAAATTGCTTCGCTTTTGAGGTATATGGTTAAAGTTGTCACAAATAAATCAACTTTTGTTTGTACCTTGAAAACAAGCTGAATAAATAAATTCAAATTTGGTATAGTTTATTAACCTAACAAGTCTACTTGATGTGAATATTGCAATGATAAGAGGTAATTCTGGGGCGCACATTCAGGAGTACCGTTAAATTTTTTTGAGCACTAAAATTTTTGCAAAAATTGTAGAATTTTCTGAAATTATACATAAATAGAAATAAATAAATATACAGTGTGACCCATTTCAAATGGAAACACTCGCGTACAAAAGTTGTTTCTGGACCGATTTGAACCGGATTTTTTTTAAAAGATAGATCTCCAAAAGCACTCTCATGATGCAAAATTAGAAGGTGAAATTTTGATTTTCAAGGCCTACTATGAATTTTTTTCACTGTCAAATTTTACAAAAACTGTTTAGCGATTTTTTTATTTAAAATCTATCTACGGCACTGGATTCTGCATCCCCTAAAACGGTTTCATGCCAAATTTCATAAATAAATATTTTATAATGACGGTTTTATTACAATTTTAATATAGGCTTCATTTAATTCAATACTTTTATAGTAATTTTCTAAAAAAAAATGTTGCCTATGAAAAATGATTTTTAAAAACATGGGAAATTAATTTTACGCTTTTAATTAATCGCATTAAACGTTTAAACTTATAATATTACGGTTATTAATAATTAGGTATTTAAATAAGTAAGTAAATAGCAAAGGAAAATAAAGCATTACATGAAATTTAAACGATATTAAACAACATCAGAGTACAATTATTAATAACATTTTATATTTTTGTGGCCTCTACAAGGCCGCCATTAATTTCGATGCACTTTTCAAATCGCTTACGAATATTTCTTTGTACATTCTGTAGTTGTTGCGGGGTAACTTCTGCACAAGCTTGCCTGATTTTTGTACACAACTCTTCTCTGTTGCCTGGCCGTGACTTATAAACTTTGGATTTTATGACACCCCATAAAAAGAAGTCCAGTGGCGTTAAGTCCGGAGACCTGGGTGGCCATCTAATTAGCGGGCTATTCCTACCTATCCATCGGTTAGGAAAGTTATCTTCAAGCCATTCGGTTACCGCTCTTGCATTGTGGATAGGACTTCCATCTAATTGGAAATTAACATTCAGTCTTTCTTGTACTGGAAGTTCATGTAGTATATTCCAAAATTCATTTCTCAGGAACAGTAAAAACTGTATGCTATTCATATTACCCTCAAAAAAGAAAGGGCCAATGATAGTTTCATTTAGTATCCCACACCAAACATTAACTTTTTGAGAATATTGCCGTTTACAATTAATAATCCAATCTGGTTTTTCTGTAGCCCAGTATCTAGAATTCTGTGACGAAACAATTCCATTAGTTGTAAAAGTCGCCTCATCGCTGAATAAAATAGTTTTTAAAAAATATCTATTATTGAGATACTCTCCTTGAGCCCATAAACAAAATTCCATCCTCCTCTCATCATCACCAGGTTCCAAGGTGTGTAAAAACTTGGGTTTGAATGGTTTAAATTTATTTTTTTTAAGGCATCGGCGGATATTTTCTCTGGGCAAATTTAAATTTAAACTAGCTATTCTCACACTGACGTTTGGATTGTTATTAAAATAATTTAAAACGATTTGCTCGTACCTGGGTCCTCTTTGTACTCGATCCGCTTTTATAATACGTCTTGACACAGCCCCGCATTCATTAAAAACTTTGGAAATTTTAGAAACAGTACTCTGAGTTATTCGGGGCCCATCTGGGTGCCTGTTATGAAATATTCCACATACTTCTCCCACAGTCCTATCATTATCTCCTAAAAGCCGCACAATTTCAATTTTTGCTTGTAAATTTAATTGCCCACCCATAATTACAATATGGAAATAAACTAATGTCCTAATGACAATGAGCGTATCTTAAAGATTTGACGTTTGACTACAAAAAGAGTTTTGTTTTCATAGCACCCTTATAATAAGCTTTCTATCCTTGATGTACGACACGTTGTTATATCAAATGTCTTTAAAGTAGGTAGTTACCCCGCAACAACTACACGTAAAAAATGTTTGTAAATAATTTCAAAACTGCATCCATATAAATGGTGACTTAAAAACTAATATAAACGAGAATCTTTTAATTTTAGCAAAATGCTTTAATTTTCCATTGCTATTTACTTACTTATTTAAATACCTAATTATTAATAACCGTAATATTATAAGTTTAAACGTTTAATGCGATTAATTAAAAGCGTAAAATTAATTTCCCATGTTTTTAAAAATCATTTTTCATAGGCAACATTTTTTTTTAGAAAATTACTATAAAAGTATTGAATTAAATGAAGCCTATATTAAAATTGTAATAAAACCGTCATTATAAAATATTTATTTATGAAATTTGGCATGAAACCGTTTTAGGGGATGCAGAATCCAGTGCCGTAGATAGATTTTAAATAAAAAAATCGCTAAACAGTTTTTGTAAAATTTGACAGTGAAAAAAATTCATAGTAGGCCTTGAAAATCAAAATTTCACCTTCTAATTTTGCATCATGAGAGTGCTTTTGGAGATCTATCTTTTAAAAAAAATCCGGTTCAAATCGGTCCAGAAACAACTTTTGTACGCGAGTGTTTCCATTTGAAATGGGTCACACTGTACATATATATAAATAAAAATAAATTATACATAAAAGGTACTATATTATTTCTTTTCGATAGGACCCAAATATCCCAGGTCGAGTTCTAAAGACGTTGCAACATTATTTTATTTGCTGTTGTAGAACTTGCAAGTTCTCAACTGATTTTATGTACACCGAAATTTTAAGATAACCCCAAATAAAGAAGTTCAGCATATTCAGTCAATGTAAGGTGGCCATTGATTGAACTTGTCCACCAAGTCCAGTCCATCTTTGTTCGTAAGTTTCAGTAAGGTACTTATGAACTGGAAATGAGTACGTAAACTGCATACTATATCTGACATTCCATGGCATATCTTCAAGTTATGTCAGTAACACCTATCTTGAAAATTAGATTGCACGATGTATGAACTTTTTTTCTATTTTTTTGTTACCCTGTATGTAAAATTTTGGAATCAGAGGAATTGGAGTTAAAAGTGGTCTAAGAATTTTTAACTGTCAAAAAAAGTGATTGGAGAAAATTTTCTTGTTATAAACTTGTATATACATTACTTCTAAATAAAACTTTTGCGCCTCTGGAAATTTTTCGTAGAATGCAACTTTCACGATTAAATCTAAAAACTTAGACAAAGTTAGGCGCCCACCAACAGCACAACACATATAAAATGGAAAGAACAAATAAACACAAATTTGTACAAAACCTCTAGTTCAAATATTTATCTACGCTTCACTACTAAAAATAAATTTACTAGGCCCAAAAGTTTTATTTGCAAAAATTGCTTTATTTAAATCTATAATTGAATCTTCCAATGTTAAATTACTTTTTTTTTGGCAGTAGAAACCTCTCATACCACTTCCAATTCAGACATTGTTTATTCGTTTTTTATATCAAATTTTACATGTAGGTAGCTACTGTGAATGAATTGACCAGTACCAATGTTGAAGTTTATTTATTTATTTTAATATGCAACAGCCCGGTAACAAAAACCACGTACAAGGCACGCTTATTAAATAAACTAAAAAAAGTCAAATTATACAAAACAATTGAAGAAAATATGAACAATATGTAGTAAGTTCTTAATATGATAATTTTGGTTTTATTTTAGCAGCAGAAGTGCCAAACAGGTCAATTGACCCCTTGAATATATAAATCTTGCACATTTGATACAATAAATATGATGATAAAATATGATTTTTAGGTATTCGAAGTCTAAATGTGCCACAACATCTGAAAATATGTCAATGGTTACGTCAACATGACCTTGAATATCAATTTTCAATATGTACTGAATTTTTGAGACTGAATTAGTATGTGTGGATCTACCTTTCATAAATCCGTGTTGACAGAGTAATTAAAAAAAACATAAAACACACCACAGAAATGAGATAGATTATAATTTGATATGTCACATATGTGTCCATTTTTAAATATCAAACATATTCATTCACGATAACTTCCAAATATTTGGAACAATGTACATGTTATTATATTAAAGAGATAATCCTTTGGCATAAGATTGGAATGTTATCAAGTCTCTTAGGAAATGTTTTAAGAAAAGTCGTTGCTCTACTGCAACGTCGCTATTACATTCTATATATTTACTTGCGAATCTCTTCTACAAATTTACTTACATTATGGAAATAAGCTGTGGCAACCTTTTCAATTGGAGTATAAATATCAGGCATAAGAAGTACCCAAACTGGTCTAGCAGACTTGTTAGAATCGATTTGACAACTCTCTAACTGCCCAAACACATTTGATCCAAATCCATATAGCTTTCCCTCACAAGTAAGTATTAAACTATGTGCATGTCCTGCGGAAACCTGTTTTACTGGATGTGGAAAATTTATTAGTTTGGGATAAAATTCGTTATCACAGTTTCCATGTCCCAATTGGCCATGTATCCCCCATCCCCAAGTATAAACTTTTCCTGTAGATGTTAAAGCTATACTGTGATATTGACCAGCAGCTACATCTATGATCTTAACTGAAGCTATGGAAGAAAGAATTTGTGGATAGGGACTTTCCTGTACAAAGTGACCTAATCCCAGCTGCCCATATGCATTTGAGCCCCAAGAATAAACCTAAAATAATATTTAGTATTTTCAGGTATTTATTATCAGGTATTTTTTATTACACAAGCTGTTACAAATTCGTATCTCACTAAGTACAGGGATCTGGAAAACGGTAAGAGATACGAACTAACTTAAATGAGGGCAAACTTACGTAATCAAGGGTCCAACATTATGCCTCTAAAAAATCAAGGCTAACATGATTAGTTTTCAAAGTATTTGGAAAAAAAACGAAATTTTGGAAATCCGTTTTTGTTTTATTTCAGCCTTGTTTGAGATGATATTGAAAAAAGAAAAACACTTTCTCATGACAACTGTTTGCCCTCTATCGAATGGCATAATTAATTTTTATATGTAAAGTTTTGTCTTTCCAGGACCATCATCAACTTCATTTTTTTAAATAGACCCTGGAAATTTTATAACATTTTTCGCAAGCCTTCGTGACCCCCAATACTGTACTGCCTCAGCCCGAGCCAGATACAGACGTTTTGTCTCGAAAAATTCATCTTCAATGTATTCATTTCAAATTTATCTAAATTTTTTATTTAGATTTCTATGTCTATTGAATTATCCTACACTTTAAGTGTCGTTAGAACCTGTGGAATCCATCTAGTTATTTACCACCACACATTACAATACAACATTAATTAGAGTTTTAATCCCGTGTCCATAGCTATTCTAGGCTTCTCGAGTGCTCAAAATTCAAACAAACTCCGATCTAATTTTTTTCAGTATATTCATGCAAATACATCTGACATGCTCTTTCACAATTGTGGTTATAGGTATAATAAATTCCAATAATATTACGCTGATCTTCATTTTTAACCTTTGCCAAAACAGAAATGTTTTTGAACATTTACTGAAATTTTTGTTTTAAAGTATAATACCTATTTATTGGGCGTTTTGGTTGTTCATATGCATTTTTAAGAATTAATTTGTCATAATAAAATTAAAATTGTAATAATCTTTCAATTTTGACGCAACAACTTATCGAGTTCTGTATGACCAGGAGATGGTAATAGTTAATAATAATAAATGTTTTATGATAACGTGCGTTGGTAATAGTTTAAATAACTAGATGGATTTCACAGGGTCTAACGACACGTACAGTGTACGATAATTCAATAAACATAGAAATCTAAATAAAAAATTTAGATAAACTTGCAATGAATACACTGAAGATGAATTTTTCGAGACAAAACGTCCGAATCTGGTTCGGGCTGAGGCAGTATTGGGGGTGATGGAGGCGTGCAAAAAATGTAATGAAATTTCCAGGGTCGTATTTAAAAAAATGAAGTTGATAATGGTACTGGAAAAATGATAGAGGGCAAAAAGTTGTCATGAGAAAGTGTTATTTTTTTTTTAGATATCGCCTCAAACAAAGCTGAATTGAAACAAAATCGGATTTCCAAAATTTCGTTTTTTTTTCAAATATTTCGAAAACTAATCATGTTAGCCTTGATTTTTTAGAGGCATAATGTTGGACCCCTGATTACACAACTTTGCCACCATTTAAGCTAGTTCGTATCTCTTACTGTTTCTGAGATCCCTGTAATGAGAAGCGAATTTGTAACAGCCACATACCACTTTATACATTTTTATGATTTGTCTAGATACAATGCTGTACGATTTTTGCATTATTGTATAGAACAAAATTATTTATGTTACAATAGCTCTGCTATTATTTGAAATACAAACAAAAATATATGAAAATAAATGGGATTAAAATCTGCATTTTTTTATTATTTTCAAATAAGATGGTGTGTGTGATCACAAACAGTGTAAATTAAAACCAGCAAATTCTGATAACCCGAGATAATAAATTTAAAAAAAGGCAAAAATAACCTCTGGATAGGAGAGATGGATGGATTTGGTTTTAAGTAAAAGGCAAAGATAGTAGTGTAATTAATTTTAGTTTTTCTATTTTCATGGGATCTGAAAAGGCCACTTATTATTGCTTATACAGTGTACTGTTTGTGTGTACTTATAAGTTTATCAGTAAACATTTCCAGTTACGCTTTTTTGTGCATGAGTTAGTCCAGGATATACATTTTTTTATACTAATATGGAATTTTCCTGTACCCTTTTTAGTTGTCTTGCCCCAAGAATTTATTTTACCCCAGGATTTGGGTTCACTTCATTCGCAATTTTTTTAACTAACATTTATAAAATAATTATTGCAATATCAAACTAGATACACAATATTTAAAGATACATTCAGAAATATTTTCAATTGAACTGCAAATAATAGAGTTCAGCTAATATTTAAAAAGACGGATTTTAATTTTTTTCTTAATAAAATTCAAATGAATAGCAATATACTTTTTTTTAATGGTAGGTATGTTTATAAATATTAAAATCAATAATTTGTCTATTTACATTTTCCTGTATGTTTAAAGGCTGTGGTCATATATATATTCTCTGATAGTCAAGCTGCAATTAAAGCTTTAACCGCACACAAGGTAAGTTCAAAATTGGTGTGGGATTGTTTACAAGTGCTGACTGAACTGGCCACCAACAATACAGTCAGACTGTGTTGGGTGCCAGGGCACAAAGGCATTTGTGGAAATGAGAAAGCAGATGAACTTGCTAGGAAGGGATCCGAGACAGAGTTCATTGGCCCGGAGCCCTTCTGTGGCGCATCTCCCAGTGTGGTCAGACGGGCTCTGGGCAAATGGACTGAGACATAATACAGGAAATACTGGATTTCAAGACTAGGACATAGCCATTCTAAGGAGCTCATAGAGTATCCTTCGAAGGAAAGAGCGAATGAACTACTGAGCTTGAACAGAATCCGGCTTAGGAGAGTGACAGGACTCATAACGGGACACTGTCACTTTAGGAAACATCTACATAAGCTAAAGCTTGTAGACAGTCCGATCTGCCGAGGATGTGAATCGGCGGATAAAACTTCTCTGCATATCTTGGGCGAGTGCCCGGGATTTGCACGTAGCAGAATGGCCCTCCTTGGGAGACCCTATTTGGAACCCAAGGAACTGAGAGAAGTGTCAGCAAGGAAGCTTTTGGACTTTATAAAAAGGACAAATCTACTTGCTGAATAGGATTAGTAGTGAGACGCACAATAGGCCTAATTAGGCCGCAGTGCAATGGGACTTATTAGGACCAACCACTAGAAGAAGAAGAAGAAGAAAGGCTGTGGTTTTCAATTCAGTAAAGATTAAGAAAACAGAAATGCGAATATTAATAGCATAAACTAATAATTCTTAATGATAGTTGACAACAAAATACATCACAGGCAGTACAGATAGACTCCATATAATTAAACGTAGTAGTGTATTTACTTTTCAGCGACATCCAGTGGAAGCTCCTTGTATATAAAGACCGAGAAATGGAATTTGAAAAAAAAACCCATGAAAGTTTGAAAAATTCTCAGGTCTATAAATTTCCCTGATAATTCCAGGTTTTTCAGATTGGTATGTACCTTAGTTTATATGAAATTCTCCTTTATGTACAAATCTCAGATAATAACAGATCCATTGTATTTTGCCATTTTAATGAACTAAGTATATGCCAAAATGTATTGACAAATATCGCAATGTATGATGAGACTTTTTATTTTTGCAAATCTTATTTTGATAAAATTAAAAATAACAAAAAAATACTTTTAATGGGTTGGGAAATAAGTAATGTCCGTTTTTTCAGATTAAAAATTCATAAGAAAATTAAACTACAGTGGCTCTATACAAGACAGTGGCGACAATAGCGACTAAAGCCCGCCCATCCGTCATGTTGCATACAATGTCAAATTAAAAGTAACTTTTATAAAAAATAAATTAAGGACAAAAGTATTTTTGTTATAAATTTTACGCACAGCGACTAAAGCCTGCCCATCCGCCATGTTGCATACAATGTCAAATTAAAAGTAACTTTTATAAAAAATAAATTAAGGACAAAAGTATTTTTGTTATAAATTTGACACACATATTGTAAGCAAATAACTCCCTTGGAAACTGATTTTAAATAGTGTATGAATGTAGAATCTACTTGTGCAATAAGGGGAGGATAAATATACAGGGTGTCCCCGTTTTTTGTAGCATGACTTTCACAACTTGTACTAANATGAACAATCTTGGTATTATTACCAGTACCTCTTTCCATAAAAATATTTGTCACAATCGGTATAAGCTCGCCCGCAAAAATTCGCCTTACCAATTGCAATAACCGAGTCACTAATGCGCATGGTTGCGAATATATACGGTTTGAGCAGCCTGATCCAATTTAACTATTCATGCGAATTAATCCGTCTGGAGCAGTTTGAGCCTTATACATTTTTAGCGAATATATACGTCTGGAGCAGTGATAGGGTTAAGTCAATTATTTCTTGAATTTTTAACTACCCAGCATGATAACATTCTAGACGATGTTCCTTTTCAACAAAGAATAGTCTCGTTTTTTCAATTAGATTGATGCCCTTCCCAGTACTCTTTGGTGGTACGAAACTGGCTGAATACAGAGTATCAGAGTGGCCTCCGCGATCGCCTGATCTAACACCTTTCGATTTTTTTGTTTGGGGATTTATTAAGGATGCAGTTTCCTCTATGCCTGTTAACTTGCAAGAGGAACTTGTACGATGAATCCGGAACGCTGCACTCAGAATAACTCCACATCATTTGAGAGACGTTAGGCGGTTTTTAATACGTCGCTGCAATTTGTGTGTAGAACGAAATGGCGGGAATTTCGAAACCCTCCTTTGCGGTCTATTTATACAATAAGTTGTTTTTCCATACCGTGTTGTTTATTTTTTTTATTATCTTACAATAAACTGTGTGAAACAAAAAGTTTTATTTCTGTCTAAACAAAGCGAGATAGGAAAAAAAGTAAATAACAAAAAAGTTGTATTTTTGATAGCTAAATCTGAGAAAAATTTCAAACTTACCAAAATCAGTGGCGTATCATATTTTTTCTATTTTTATCAAGCTGGTATCTTGTTGTGACGCCACTGGAGAAAATAGGACAAATTAAATTATGTGAGAAAATGAGTATTATTATTACAAACAAAGTTGCCAAGTTTCAACAATGTCTAAAAAGGGGTTTTCGTTTTACGAATAAAAAATCAATTCTCATTTTAAACTTGAACACTCTGTAAATCGAAAACGACGCATCTATACATATATGTTTACATGAGCTTTTTTTTTTAAGGACAGTACAAATTGTGAAAGTCCTGCTACAAAAAACGCGGACACCCTGTATAATAATAGCAACTATTGGTTCTTATTTTCTAAACAAGTAAAATTAAGCATACCTACATTACACAATGAAATTTATTGGGTTTACATTACAAAAACAAATACTTAATGCTAGTGATAGTATTTGTTACAATAAATGTCCAGCAACACTTTTACTTGCAAGCTTTTTTTATGCTTTTTGGCAATTTTTGGAAGCTATGTTTAATCGGAACATAATAAATCTTTTAACAATTTTATTTCTGATCTGATGACAATTTAGTAGATCTAAATTTAAACCAGACATATCTTTTAAGAAAAACTCTTTTAAATTTATGTTTTGTGAAAATATAATCGCAAAAAATTTTTTAAAAACACTTTTCATCTGCAAGAAGAAACAAAATACCGCTTCATTGCACGGTCGTCGTCCTCATAGGAACTTCTGCAGACATTATAACTATTCATTAGCACAGAATACCCAATATAGTCTAATAATCGTTAAAATTAAAATAAAACAATACAAATATTGCATAACACCATAAGAATGCTCTTGACACATGACACATCACAGATGAATTTGACACTTGATGCAACATGGAAGCTAAAATCATGTGGATCAATTAAAAATGATATATTCTATTGTCGCCACTGACTTGTATATAGTCACTGTAAATTAAACGCATTGTCAAATTGAAATGTAATTCGAAAGAAGACTTATTGCTCTATCAGTCTGTGTTTTTGACAGTCGTTTTTGTTTTTAATTGAGATGGGGACAACATTAAAGTATTTCAAGCTGCTCGGGAAATTTGTGCCGTATATGGTGATGATACACGAATAGCCTGTCAATGGTTTTTGCGTTTTAAAGGTGATTTTAACCTTAAAGACATGAATCATTCCAGACGCTCTGCTGAATTTGATGAAGAGCAATTATTGAATCGACTCCTTCACGAAAATCCAAGACAATCAACAAGGAAATTGGCATGCGATAAAAAAAAAGTAGTAAACCACCTGCACTTGGGAAAATTTCAAAGGCGCTCTGTAATTATCGCTGCTTTACTCCAAAAAATAAGCAATTCCACGAACAAGAGCAGAACTTCATCCTCGAAAAACAATGTTATGTGTCTGGTGGGAATGGAAAGGGATTCTTTATTACAAACTCTTACAAAACAATCAAACCGTCAAGGTAGAACTCTATATGCAACAACTACGGCGATTCCATACAGATATTCAATAACAAAAATCTAACTGGTGATATGAAATTCTTTTGCACAATGGCAATGCGCGATTACATATCGCCAATATGATCAAAACGGCCATTGAATTGGAACTTTCTGACCCACCCGCCTTATTTTCCCGATCTCGTGCCTTGTGATTATCATCTCTTCCACTCTTTGTCAAACTCTTTACATGGTGTTTCTTTTTAACAATGACAATGAGTTAAGAGCTTGGTTGGATGAGCTTTTGAGTCAAAATCGGATATTTCTACAGAAAAGGCATCAAAAAACTTGTTGAACGAGGAGGACTAAATGATGATGAAGAATACATCACTTATTAGCCTATTGACAATTGCAGTTAAAAATAAAATTTGAAAAAAAAACACACACTACTTATTCCACAGCGCAATAATTATCAACTTACCCCATAATCTGTTAAAGCTAATGTATGCTTTCGACCACAGCTGATGCTTAAAACTTTAACTTTCAGTTCACTCAAAGTTACTACTAATCTCGGAGGGCTGCTTTGTGTTAATAAAGGTCCTAAACCTAAACAACCTGAGCTTGAAACACCCATGGTATACACCTGACTATTACGTACAACAGCAGCATGTTCAAATCCACAACTTAGGGGATGTAAATCTGGCAATTTTTTTATTGGAATCTCGGTTTGAAGATTGTCAGGTAATCCGACATTGTCTAGTAAACTCAAATTGAATCTAAAAGGTCAGGTTTAATGAAAAGTTTATTTTTATTTATTCTAATATACCTACCCAGTCTTCTCAGATTTGTGTGTTAAATAAATAACAACCGACAGGAATGTATCAATTAAATCCTTTGCTATAATGATGCCTCGATCAGGATTCTCGAAATCAACTGACTCTATTGTTGTATCTAAACTGGATGAGTATTTATTAGTGTGAAATAATCTGTTGACAAGCGGGATTGCGCAGGGTTGACTGGGATCCAGTTGAGCTGCAAGCCTTTGTAAAATTTGCAATGGAAACGTATCTATATTTGTGCGTATATATTGAAATATTATTTGTGAACTTTGACCTAGAACGAGTAAGCTTTGTGTCAGATTAGGCTCAGATAAAGCATAGAGAAAATCAAAATCAGTCGGTCGTGGCGCTCTGGCACTTTGCAGAATTTGTCCTAGAGCTGAAACAACTTCTGGCTGAAGACCTCTAGATTTTGCCAGTAAAGTGACAACATTCCAATGTCCTGCTTGACACGCAACATTTACTGCAAGTATTTGGTCATAATATTCCTCATAACAGAGAAAATTCCTACAAATGCCAAAAGAATACTTGAATTAATACTTATTTACAATATTCAACATTTGTTTTATTTATGAACAGGGTGCCTGAGAATCAATAGAACTGGCCAATTTTGTCAATTAGATACCTACACTTAAATATTTTAAATTACCAAACCAAATTGGAATAAAAAAATGAATTATTCAAACTTACTTTAGTGCAAAAGTTGACATGAGATACTGGGTGTGAAACAACAATTTTCAACTATACAAGGTGTTTCATTTCGGGTGTGCCAAATGAACACAGATGAAAACACCCCCCATGGTGCTACACCCCTTTAAAGAGGGTCATTAAGACACAATTTTATTATATCTGGGAAATGCTTCGAAGTAAATTCATAAAATTTTATACAGAGGTACCATTTATTACGAGGAACTAGTTTATCTAAACCAAATTGACACATTTTTTTCAAGGGCGTCCCTTCGGGGGGCAAACCAAGGTTCAATATCCGCAACTTTTTTTATTCAAATTCGTAATTCTTTTTTTGAAACTCGAAAGCCTTAACCATTCCTATAAAAAAGATATACTTGTTTCATTACAACTGCAACGGTTTTCCAGAAAAAGCCAATCTTAATTTCTTATGCTTCTATTGAAAATTAAAAATTATAAAGTACCTAGAGTTCTATTTTCCTTACATGAAACAGGTATATTTTTTTTTATGTAGAAATAGTCAAGGATTTCGATTTTCAAAATAATAATTATGAATTTGTAAAATAAAAAAAGTTACGGATATTGAACCTTGCCCCCCTGTAGGGACGCCCCTGAAAATAATGTGTCAATTTGGTTTAGATAAAGTAATTCCTCGTGGTATAAATTTATTTCAAAGCATTTTCGAGATATTGTAATAAAATTGTGACCCTAAGGTGAAAAAACTCCTCTACACAGAGATTTTCAAGATTTTAAACTGACTGGAAAAACAGAATCCATATCATATTGCACCACAATCCTATAATCCCGTAGTCTCTTACTTGAACAATTTTCATCTCAAACACTCAGGATCACTGATTGTACAGTCAAGGAAGTTCTATTACATTTTTCCAGTGTAAGTACAAAGAAAAAAAACCTGGGTGACTTTATAGCACCAATCTATATGCTCCAGGTCATCCATTTACAGAAGCTTGTACAAGGGGGGACCCAAAAATAACCGGAATTTCTTTGTAGAAAGCATTTACTTTATTGTTTTTCAAATACAATCTTACTCTCCTTCAAAGTACTCTCCATTAGCATTAATGCACTTGTCCAAACGTTCATTCCAGTGTTCCACCTTTTAAATTCGTCCTCTTTGATACCTGCTAGCACCTTCGTGACATTGAGTTTTACGTGTTCGACATCGACAAAATGCTTCCTTTTCAAGTCCCTTTTCATCCTCGGGAAAAAGAAGAAGTGCTAAATCTAGCGAATAGGGCGCATGAATCAAGATAGTTGTTATCGTTGAGGCCAAAAACTGGCGAACACTGAGGGCCCTGTGCGCGGGAGCGTTGTCGTGATGCAGGAACCACTCATCGGAATTCTACAAAGTCGGACGTTTTCGCGCCAAAGCTCTGCGCAGCCTTTTCATAACCTCCATATAGAATTGTTGGTTTACCGTCTGGTTTTGAGGAACAAATTCTGAGTGTACAATCCCTTTGATGTCAAAAAAACAGATCAACATCATCTTCACATTCGATTTCACCTGACGAGCTTTTTTTGACGAGGTGAGCCAGTTGACTTCCATTGACTTGACTGTTGTTTACATTCTGGATCCCATAGCACTATGATTCGTCACCTGTGATGATTTTGTTGAAAAAATTTGGATCGTCTTTGAATGCGTCCTTCATTTCATGACAGGCTTGAACGCGACGATCCCTTTGATCTTCGGTGAGAAATCTCGGCACGAACTTTGCTGTCAATCTTCGCAACCCCAAATCAACATTCAAAATTCGCTGAATTGAGCTCCAGGATAACCCGGATAAATCCTCGAGTTGGTCGATTGTTCTGCGTCGATCTTCATTGATCAGATTACGGATTTTGCTGATGTCGTCCTCACTTCGAGCAGTTGAAGGGCGACCGGAATGGGGCTGATCTTCAATGGCCATTTCTCCCTTTCTAAACTGCGAAAACCATTCGTACACTTGAGTTTTACAAAGAGCATGTTCTTTATAAGCTGTTTGCATCATCACAACAGTTTCCGCAGCGTTCTTGCCGAGTAAAAAACAAAACTTCACAGCCGCACGTTGTTCGTAAGAATCAGTCATTTTTTCGTGTTACGTCTGCACTACACACATACACACATAACTGCCAGGGAAACCACAATAGTCGCTGTCGGGTGACGCCGCTTGGTGGAATGACTAACGAATAGTCCTAAAACTGCCCTCTGACGACGCAACCTGGTACTATAAGTACATGAAGCGCAGCATTAAGATTTCGGTTATTTTTGGGTCCCCCCTCGTATGCCCTGGGTTAAGAGATTATGCAGTTACGGCAGGACTACAGACCCAATTCCTCAGAGTTCTGTGATTCCCATATATCCAGGGTATAGCGTTACAAGGTTATTGGGTATTGGAATTATGAAAGCTTGCCAACTCATTCATATAGTTTCAAACCCCTGATGTATGAGATCCATGTTGTAAAAGATTGATTTCATTGTTCTACACTCTCGCACATCCTGAATTATGGGTTATGGGGTTACGAGGTTAAGAAGCTACAGGGTTATGGGTTTATTGTTCAATGATATCATGAATTTAAATATTTTCCCAATTAAAGACTACTCAAGTCAGTTTGAAATCTCGAAAACTGCTTTCTAGAATAGTGTTTTGATGTTAGGATCAAAACACGAACTGACCCAAGAATTCTGACTTCAGCTACTTACTACCTTTTTTTATTTTGTGGCACTGTAATATTAACAAATTACTCATAGCAGAACAGAACTGCAGAACATAATGCAATTAAAATGTAAAAATTTCTTACATAAAATCCCGAGTGTTTGTTATTCTCTGTTGACCACCATAACGTAAAATTAACTCTGTGTATGCCATAACTGCCAAATTTCCTATATGAATCTTCGTTGCTATAGACATGTCAACTTTGCTTGCACTCAAACATAAGTGAACAAATTTAAGCAATGTTTTACAATCTGCAGAAACGGCTAATTTTAGAACCCTTTTGAGTAAGTGCACTTTTGCTTGTTTGTACAATATTATGCCAGAGTGGTATGAACCCTTGGATATTAAGAGATCTCCACATCCTTCTAAAAGCTGTTGTATGTTTAACCCAAATATATAAGACAATCTCTCAGCCTTATCCAAATCATTTTCCTCAGTAATATACTCAATGAATCTTTTAATTGGAGAACATCTAAAATAATATATACTTGGAAAATGTATACTTGTTAAACATAAAATATGTTGTACCTTAAAGCTACCTTGTAAATAGAACTGTCAGTCACAATAACACAGGTATCTATACGTGGTTTCTGAATATTCAGGTCATCTACAGTCTTTGGTAATTCATACAATTTGTCTTTTTTATTTTCCTCCCGATTCTTTCGTAAACGAACTGATGAAAGATCCACTAACTTGAAAAACTGCTGGATGGTTTCCTTTTCCATATAAAACTGTGCCACCACAGAGTCATTGTTAAATTCCTAGAAAATATATGTCACAGCACGAAGCCATTAGTTAAAATGGTACTTACTGCATCACCCTCTAATCTACATTCAGAAAGTTGAGAGCTGATAATTGAAACAGTATTATATTCACTATTTATGGTATAAATTAGTTTGTCTGTCAACAACACTTCAGCAGTTTTTTGGGGAAGTTTATGAACATATAACGGAGCAGACTCTACATCCACGGCATGCACCTAAATAAAATAAATTTAATAAGTACATTTTATTATGCATTTAACTATGTACAAAATTGCTATAAAAAGTGAGTAGTCTATATACAGGGTGTCCCAGTATTCCATGTACATGGAACTACCACATATCCATGGAATCAAAATATGGTTTAGCTTTCTATCTAAAATTGTTTTGTTTAACCTCTGCAATATATTAAAGTTTGCAAAAAATTAAGCTCTTTCCAAATAAATCTAAAATGCTTTGTCTGATTTAAATGAAATTTAGTATATCGATACTTGCGCTTACATGTCATTTTTTAACATGGTAACTAGGGCTTGCAATCCCGCAATGATTTGAAAATCCCGGTATTTGCGGCACTTGACTTTAAAATCCCGCGGGATCTCGGTATAAACGGGATCCCGCGATAATATGATATATTATTGTATTATAATATCCACATTTTTTATGTATTAACTAAAACAAGTATAAAATTAAACTTATATCATTTATTTTCAATATACCACAAAAAATTTCTTTTTTGAACACCAAACAAAAATAATTATGCAGATTAGGCTGTATTACGCACCCCAACACGGCTTAAGATGTACAACATAAACAAAATGATATGTATTTAATATAAAATAACGAAATTAATATTAATTGA